TCCACTCAATACAGTAATAGGAAGCCTCATAAATGCGAACACATAGTGTTAGTTGTGCTGTTCTTCATTTCATAAAGAAGGACCATGTTTCAAAGGAATTTTGGCTATATCCATTAAAAAATGTCAATTTTGGGGTTGTACGTTTTTTCCACTCACCGATTCAAATATTACTTTCACATATTTCATTATGCCTATCCCAAAAGTTTAATAAAATGATCCAGAATATTCCACGTAAAAGTAATAGTATTCATTTGACCTATTTTAGAAACTAGCCAAGTTAGAAACATCTCCCGTAAAATTACTGGTTTGTGGCTTGTGATTATGTTCGACGCAACGCCTCACATATACAAACTTATTAAAATTTAGAATTAACAATGAGCAACAGGAATGGCAAAGAGCATGAAAGGAATTCCTGGTTGCGAGTGACAGTAAACGTCAACTGTAGGTGCGTTACGTTAAACAGTTTGAATGCAGTTCGTTACACAAAGAGTTTGAAAATAACATCTTTGACAAAAATGTATACAAAAGTGACATTTAAGTATTAAAAACAAACACAAACTTTAGTGTCGCCGCAATAGAGCTTGGCCTAGACATGTGCAGAAATTCACTATTCGTCGAAGTAGAATCCCGTACATTTCTAACATCAAACTCTTAGACACTATGGCAATAAGAGGAATGACTACAGAGGAGGCCTACAAGTATTTTCGCTTTCAGCAGACCGCGAATATCAATCACCAAAAGGTTGACATCCGTCTCGAATACGCATCTCACCACTGTTCTAAACTATCTAAATCTTATTCGTAGAAAAGATACCTAGGTAGTACTAAGTATCATACACTGCTGCCGTAATACACTGGAGGCAAATGCAGCTAACTAAAATGTGTCGCCAAATCAGAAAACCATTGATAACTTTTCGCGTTCTCTAACCGCACAGGGATGTCAGCAGTTTATCATTCCGCAGAACTGGAGGCCATGGACTTCGGCAAATAAAAGAGACGGTTGAACTAGCAAAGCAAGCACTGGGAATGTACATGGAAAGTTTAAGGGAGATGTGTTTCATTGATTGATTGCTTTCTTGAGAGTGATTCCGGGCGCGTGTACGGATGTCATTAACCCCGTAAATGTAGTACGTGTGATTTTCTCGCAAGGTGGCAGTGATCATCCCCGATGAATAGTAAGATCCGGCTCCGACCTGCACGTCGACGATTTCCCCACCAGGTATTTCCCACTAGCGAGGCACCTCCCGAGCGGGAACAAGCTCTCGATTCGTCTCCCGGCATGTGGGGTAGTGTAGTGCATGTAAGAGTAGGTGTGTAAATAAGGGAAGAGTATATGACAAGAGAGAGAAAATATCGTACGCGACTCATGGTCCATTTGTGAGAGTACTGCTGCGACATTCGCCTGGTGTTAATAGGAGAAATCACGGAAAACTACCAATTACAGCAGAGCAGCCGATCGTTAGAATTCTCCTTCAGAAAGCAGCTGAATTCGACCTAGCTACCTAGCTTGTGTCGAAAATCCTGCCACTGTGGGGACCTAAACCCTACGACCTCCCGGACAGACGCACTGCTGTGACATCAGTTGATGCTGTGACATCAGTTGATGCTGTGACATCAGTTGATGCTGTGACATCAGTTGATATTTCTATATGAAGTACATTTCTCCCTTTAACACGTTTTGTAGTCAGAATCCATGTTTTGTGGGTCCTTGATTACGAAAATAGATTGACGGCAAACGTCTGTATGTCATTAGCGCATTAACCGTTCAGATGATTCCCAAATTGATATCCCGATCGCTCTGAACGATCTATACACACAGCGAGTATTTGGATTTTGGGGGTACTTCAAACAGGACTACGTATATTAAATTGTTCTCAAAACATCTCCATATTTTTTATAAAACTGTTTCCTTATGTAGCGAAATGAACGCTTGAAAGAATGCCACAGGTATCAGTTTCGTTAATATCCCTAAATTTTCGAAAATTGGAAATGTTCAAAAATTTTCGGCGGCTTCTTACAACTAAAATGTGAAAGTTAGAGATTTTTTCTTAATGAAATTTCCTGCACAAGAGTAGACCTTGAAATAAGATTACGTACAATTTTACGAAAATATGAGTAGTTTGCGCTTAAATTGCGTGAAATGTAGGCAATTTTTCAGAAGTTGTATTTTAATAAACGGCTTCAATTTTTTTATATAAATTTTAGACTTGTATGTATCAGAGGACGTTAAAAAAACAATTTTTTCTTGATTTTTTTCCACAGATAGAGCAAAGGACGTTTAAAAATGGCACAGGTCTCATTGCGCTTGAACTCTCTGAATTTTCAAAAGTTGCGAAAGTTAGAAATAATGCAAGAAAGTATGTGCTCTTAAAGCACGACTAGTTACAAGTTTGTGGTTTTGGTCTGTACGTGATACTATGAAAATCAGTTGGAAAAAAGAGGTAAGCGAGTTTTTAGAAGGTCAAAAATACAAAAAATATGCATTGATAATACACAAGCTACTGAAATATGCACATGTTGCCAATATATGAAAAAATGTGCATTCCAATACTTCATATATCCCCTTCTTATAGCCCGCATTGCACTTTCTGGTATAAAACATATTCTTTAGACGCGATGAAAAAAAACAACCTCTCAAACCACCCTCTGAAATGTAATAACATGATTTGAATAATGGCGAGGCAGTGGTGGAATGTGAGGCAGAGAAAACGGGAGAATCTCAAGGAAATATGCCGCGAACCCGTTTTGTCCACCATATTGATTGTCCAGCATTTGAACACGTGTACATACCGCGTGATGCGAATGGAAATCTGCCATTTCGCCATCCGCGTCGAAACGGCACAATTTGAATTTCCCACCGGTGGAAACTTTTGTTTAGTTTCGACCTATCATTATCCGCCACTCTCCTTCTCATTCCACTGTCTGTTCCAGTAGCGAGTGCATGCTTTGCAACTGTCACTGCGGTGTGCTTCGGCCGCCAGCGCAGTTTTTTGCAGTTTCCCGTGCGCGCCGCGATTGCCGACCTCGCATTAAATATTTCACCATCTGTGCGTCACCCATTGATCTGTGCGTCGTCTTCGTAACTGTCAGCTATCACGACAGGTACTTTACTCGTCACATTACTTACAAGGTCATTCCCGTACCCGGTACCATATTAATTGTGGAAGTACGCGAATGCTGCTATCTTTGCTCCTCGCGTTTTCTATTATTTTCTGTATCACGTATATCTGCTTAACATGAAAATGGTAACGCCAATAACAATTTGCCAGAAAGTCTACGTGACATTAACAAGAAAATGTTAATTGTATAAAAATTGACTCTACACTTCTTGTGTGTGTAATGTGTACTTGAGCAAACGTGCTTGTCAATTGCCATACCTCCACTGCAGCTTCAAGGATATTCGGACTCTGAGTGCTGCAGACGCCCAAACTGCACTGCGAGCGCCAAATCCGGCATCTTCGCTTCAGATTCAAGTACTACATGTTACAAACCCTGGCCTGGTCAATACTGCTACTTTTTTACAAAACTAATTACAGTCATGACTAGTGAATGTGTGTACGAAATGAATTATTGCGAACTGAGCAGAGAAACTTTTCATGCCACTATCAGTAAATATCAACCAATCTCTTATTCATTCACACTTAAATTGTCTTTAATACCTTATTGCATCTATTCCAAAATCGATCACAAATCTACCAAAAATAAATATTTTTTTCATCTGCTCACGCTTTGAAGAAAGTTTTCTTTGCTCTAAACGATCGTTATTTGTTTTGAAAACGTGTCCTTTTGTTACTTTACAGTAAATATATGATTTTGCGATTTAATGGTAGTCCCGGTTGTTGGTCCGTCGAGGTTATAAAAATCTGGTGAGTGTTTGATAAATCGCAATCTCTCCAATCCACTTCACTCCATTAATCGCCCATCGTCCCCCCTCCACCAGAGTTGAAAAGGTAGCTGCGCTGTAGATGGGGGCCCGCGCCCCAGAAAAAAACTAATAAATATTTGTACACTACGAGGTGGTCAGCACAGACTTGATACCTGCATAGAAACCCCATAAAATTATTTCATAAATACAAAATCGGTTGAAAACATGCTCATGCTCATGAATGTACGAAACTAGTCTGAAAAAAATGCGGCCAGATTCGGATCGATCCATCCCGCAACCGCCCAAAATACACTAAAAATGTTGCACAAGTAAGAGATAATATACATGTAATTTTTTTTAATGGATTCAGACATGCCGTCGTTAACTCCTGTTGTTTTCGTTAATTTTCGCACGCTTATGGTTAGTAGTAAATACGTTACAATTCTTCTGGATTGTTATTTGAACTTTCACGCTGCAGGTGAAGTCGTGCTTCTTCATTTGTATTCTTGACAACTTCGTAGATTGTCAACCGCAACATTGCTTTTTTCATGGATCCTACGAACTGATTTTTCAAATCTTTGAAAAGATGTTTATTAACAAAAAAGCAACATAGACCAATTTTCATTTATTACTTATTGCATGCAGTACGTGATTAAAACACCATAAATGCCGTAGTGTTCTCCGTCATGGACGGTTTAACATCTTGGTCCGTTTTATATATTGATAACTATATTATTTCAATTACCACACTCTCGTATCACTAGAGTATGCAGTTTACGTTTGAACGGCATATTGAACTAACTTTTATTTTATTTGTTGAAAAGACTCATGCGTGATGATGTGGTAAAACTAACCACGAAACGTAAATGAGTTTTATTATACTTTGAATAAATATGATTGTTTGTGCAAATGATCAACCAATGCTTTTAATTAACTGGAACCATTTTATTCTAATACACAATTATATAGAAAATCATAATATGCGCCTGTTTATCTATTCCAATATTCAAAGCGTGATCGGACATTTGCGAGAACGCCTGATTCCTCGCCGAGAAGGGAATTGAAAGGCAAAGAATACCAAGTCCATGTAACCTACAACTTTGAAAAGCAATTTTGCGAAATCTGTCTGTTTGGAGAAACGTCTCTCGTGTCCGGGCAGACGATGTGCGCTGCAGTGTGCACACCAGAGCGGAAAGCTCCGCCGACGGAGGCCCGCGGCTCAGGCGAGCGCAGAGAGGGCGCGGAGCGGAGCGGCGGCGGTGACCGGGGCGACGCAGCCGATTTAATTGCCCTCTTGAGTCGGCGCTGGCGCTCGGCGTGCGTGGGGCGGAGCGGAGTGCAGCGGCGGCCGGCGGGCGCGGCGCCCCGCCACGCGCCCGCTTGCTGAGGCGACGCTCGCCGCTTCATTGCTTCGTCAAGTCCGCCCCAGCGCCGCTTGCTGCCGTCCGCTTCGGCGGCTTTTCTGTGTGAGGATCACTCCGCGACAGCCGCTGCCTGCAGTTTGTTGGAGTTGCCTTCGTGGAAGCTGCGCGCTCCCCGGGGCATTTTGCAGCTGAAGTAGACCTTCCTGCCATTACACAGCGAAAATTTCGACTGAAGGCTTTATTTCCTATTTCCACCTTTTAGTCTGTCTTTTAATCAATTAAATTGTTTGTTAAAGATTAGGGTCCATATTTATACACAGACACATTTTTGTAACCTTAATTTATTTCATAATCTTTCTTTGCAACGGTTTCGGGAAGTGTTGTCCCTGCATTAGGCTGTAAAATTAACTGTTGAAATTATATAAATGAAGGATGTATTTCATGAGCTGCCATGACATATATTCACATTCATTTACTAAAACGTTTACACTTAGTACGTAAACTACTTGTAGCTCATATTTGAAAAATAGGGGGCACATTCAAAACTATGTTTATATTGTAATTTTATGCACAATTAGGGATATATAAAAATAGATGATGAAAGGTTCATATAATACTCGAAATGTATGAATGTTTCAAGAATAGAAGAATATTTGCATGCGATTCAGCATTGATTGTTCCAAATATATAGAATCCATGGTACTAGCAAATAAACAATTAAAAGAACAATCGCCATTCTTATTATCTTTCTTCTTTCATGGGATTATTTTCATAAAATAATTTCGATTTTGAGATGTTTTTGCTTGTTCACAATATTACACAAGCTGTGATCTTTTAGACCATTTAAGGGAAATGAGAATGTTTGCTTGATCGATGGTTTCGGGCCCACCAACAGCCATGATCATTCATCCTGTTAGTGTAATGAATGTTTGTTTCGGAAGGTGTCTATTTTATCCCAGCTGGTCTGTAAGATCCGGTGCCGACATACACGCCGGATTTCGTGGGACTTTCTATCCAGATATCTCCCCCAGCGGGGCACCAAACTAGCCGGGACAAACTCTAAGCTCCCGACTGGTGCCCCGACATTGCTGCTAGGGTGGTGCATATTAGTGTAAGTTGATGTGTTAGGAGCGAGAATAGGACCAGGAAGAGGAAGGAAAGATCGCATACGGTCCATTTGTTAGAGTACTACACCGGCATTCATCAGTTATTGATTAGAGAAACCAAGGAAAATCACCTATCAGAGCAGCCTGTCGCTAGAATTCTCCTCCAGACAGTGACTGCATTCGACCTAGGTATATAGCTAGTGTCAAAAATCTGCTATTGTCGGGACCAAAGATCTCCCTGACAGTCACTGCGGAGATAGCGACAATGAGTTGACAAATTTGCCCGAAATGAGGATGAAATGATTGTAAAACGAATTGATTTCTCAATGTTGGTTTTTGAGTGGGTGTTATCAGGGGCATTTTTCGAAAATCTTAGTTCCCAAAATAAATAAACCAATTTCCTCTAAAGACTCTCACGCGTCTCTTGTGCTCTCGAAAGTTCATTCCCGTAGTTATTTGATCTGAAAACTCCATTTCCTCTAATAAAGTAAATTATTTGCATCCAACATTCTATATTTTTCCAAAATGATATTTTTTTCCTACAAATAAAATACATTTACTACAACAAACAAATAAAATGTAGCAAATTAGCACTCTTATTTCTATTATTTTACTACGGAGAATAAAAAAGTATAGCAACAAGATATTCTGCAACTCTTACTCGTACATATTAACAGAATTCTAGTACATTAGTTGCTCTTCTTGTTATTTAAATGCTGGTACAACTTTTAAACTCATGATATATTTACAAAATCAGTGACAAAAACAGAAGATATTTCTTGGTTGATTTAGCCGCGATTTTTCAACTCAACGCAATTTAAAACGTCGATGACATTGGTCTATATTTCCTAAATGTTTGACTCCGCGTAAAATCCTATTTTTTGCACATAATTCCACTTTTCACAACGGCACGGAGTTTTACGATTGTTTTACGCTCAACGCCGCTGTGCGCCACGCATTCGTTTGAGGGCGATGGAGCCCCCGTTGCCGGTTCCACCACAGGCACCGTCGCCGGTGGCTGAATTGCTGTTACGAGAGTAACGGAATTAGACAAAAGAACAAAAAAAGGAAAAAAAACAACAACAAAAAAACGCATTTCACAGACTCCGGTGCTCCGTCGCTCCTGCTGGCGAGAGAGGAGCACACATGGTGTAAGAGAGTAGGTGTGTCAACTAGCTGCTTTTCCCTCGGATTTTGTGAAACCAATTTGAGGCTAGACAGTCCGGATGGCCGAGCATGGTCACAGTCCGGATGGCTACCGCATTACTGCCTTAGCGATCTCGACCCGAAGGATCGCGAGTTCGACTCCCGCCTCGCGTATGGTTGTATTGTGTTCGTCCTTTCACCCCCTATCATCATATCGTGTCAGCCTCATAGTTACCACACCGTTACATGCCATAGTGGTCGCTAACGACCTAGAACTTGATGCGGCTTTAAATAACAACAACAAAAAAAATGAGGCTAGTTCCTCGATTCTCCGAGCGCAGCGCTGGACTCGACAGAGGTATTTACGACGGCATTACGCGAATATAATAATTAGTTCTTGGGTTTTTATATGTACTACATTCCGAAAACTTTGTTATAATTTAATGTTAAGAAATATTTATGTACATACTTTTCAGAAAAAATTAATGTAATGTACTATGAAAATTCCATAAATACAATAAATATTTTCCTTTTAAGGAATACTTTAATTATACTATTTAAATCTTGAACAACATAAAATGCTTTTTATAATTGATATTATACAGGTATTGAATACTTCAGTTGATTCGATTTCGCAGTATTGATTGTATAAGATTTACAAACTAATTACATTATAATCACACTTCGAAACTGAAAACAAATTTACATAATGTTTTACATGAATCTCTGCGATTATCACACATTGTGACATAACAATTTTGACCCATTTCTCCAATCTTCTGTATTTATTTTGCCACTCCAATTATAAAATACTAGTTCACATGGAAACCCCTCTCTTAGAACGAAACGACACATGAGTTGCTCATATTTTCCGCTATCTTGCCCAAGTCGTTCGCAGAGCCTTGTACGAGAACTGTGAGATCTAGACTCAAAAATTTTGTTTTAGACAGACAGTTGACACACTTATTCTTTTACACCGTACGATGAATAATACGATAACGTCCGTCCAAATGAAATTAACCCTTGTCCAAAGCTCTCAGATTCGGCAATCGCATGAATTATATTCTTAACTTTGTGTCATAACTAAAAACACTTATTTGTGATGTATTGAGAAATGAATATAATTTATTTTTTATTCTTATTATTTCCTTCTTTCACCTTTGGCGTAGTTTTCACACTATCTTTATTGCTTTCCACACTATTTGTATGTCATTACACCAGAAAACTCGCAGTAGTTACCCGTACAAGCCAACATGATCTCACTGACTGAAGATAATATCGTGAGTCTGCAGGTGCAGATTTTCCCTAATTCGTTTGGAATAATTGAATAAATATGACATTTTTCAGGGGAGACTTTCAAAGATCGACAAAAATATTCAAACAGAAAATGGGGTTAAGAAATTTAAGGTGAGATTCCCCATCTACGTCCTATTCTCTCCAAAGTTTGTATGCTATTTTGTTTTCCGTTATAAACTCTTGTTATCTGTCACATTTGATCTGAAAGCAGAGAAATATTTTTGAGAGAGGTCACGCGCATCCACGTGCAAGCATGCGCGCGCGCGTGTGTGCGCGAATCTATAAAAAACGATGGTTTTATTGGAAATTTTTCCCAAAAGTAAAGGGGGAAACAAACACATTTCTTTTGAAATTTTCCAAAATATACATTAAATACAATAAGATAACCTTAGCAACAAAGCCTTTAATGGGCGCTATAACGTGAATGAATGAACTCGAAAATGTATTTGGAAACTCAGACTATAACAAGAATGAATGTTGTCGTTAGTAAATATAATATACCAAACAATAACATGGTCTTTCGAATTATTTAGCTTCATATTCATATACCTCATTGTACATACATGCCTTTTCATGTTAAGATTATTAGGAAATATATATTTTTTATTGTATTGTGAATTTTAACCATGGTGAAAAACTAAGAAGACAATATTACCTTCCATTTAAAATATAAAATATTCACAATTCAGTACAATCCAACTAGTCAGATTATTTTTTAGATCGTATCACTTTCTAATTATCAACCTTTCCATTAAAGACGACGAAAAATTTACAATCGTAAAATGCGTCTAAATATTTTAAAAATATTGTTACAATTCGTCAGTAGCTATATTTATTGTTAGTGCTGAAATGTAATAAAAAGGTTAAAATGTGTTTATTTTTTACTGATTACGTTATTTATCTTTATTGCCTAAAGGCCCTCTGGAGGAAGGGATAGTACACAAAAATCAATTCGTCTGAAGTGACACGAGAATTTCATCGTAATTTTTGGTCTGGTCAGTCAATTTTCGTTAATGGTTGTGAGCGCATGGCCGCCTCTAGGGGGAGGGGGCTTTTGGGATGCCCATAATTTTTTTTCTTGTTTATTCAATAGTGATCTTTTTTGAAGTTCGCAATTTTCGCCGAAATGTTTGTGCTGCTCGTACATAGGTCGAGGTTGCTAGCCAAACCTTTCTTAGTTCATAACCTTAAAATAACGGAAAGAAAATCGACATAGCCAGGAAATTTTATTCATTTACTTATTAATGTCAATTTTATTCAACAAGTATTTATTAGAACTGTCAACACATTTTTTCGAAAATTCAGGTAGATACTACTTTTAACTGAATCTTTAATAATTTTGATCTGCTGATTTCAATTGTGAAAACTGTTTTGTTTTCCATGCTCTAGATTTCTTCCAATTTGAACATTACATTTTAGCAACGACTACGAGTGGCGGACAGCCAGACAGAATCCCGACGCCGAGGCGAGGAAAT